ATAACCTTTCAGTCTAGGGTCATTAACGTTTAACCCTCCATGCTCATCAACCAAACCAGACATGTCAGATTACGCAACGCCAGTCGTGCCCTTCCTTGGAGGGTTAAACGTTAATGACCCTAGACTAAAAGGTTAAGACAAACGGTCTCATAACTTGATTTTCATGCTTACAAGCTCATATCTCATCATCTCAACCATACTTGTTTACGGACCTACGCAGTCTGAGTCAAGGCTTTATCTCGGGTCATTAGGTCTTGATGATCAGAACCTGAGATTGAAAATTTGACTACTCTGAATTAGGAACCGTATTTCATATAGACGCTAACACACACAAATCCAATACTCATACAATCGAGCAAAAATAACAGAACGAGTATGAAATAAAATTAACCAAACCACTCTATACCGATCTATCTAGTTTTTTTAATTTTCTTTTGGCTCAATTTAGTCTATATAAGAAGTAAGGTAGAGCCGGATAGTGTTCTTGGCCTAGTGTTAAAGTGAAACTCTTACAAGACTGAAAACAAGCTCTGATGATGTCCATCATATGATGGACGAAAGCTCAGCACGTTTTTACCCGAAACGAGGGGGTGGTCTTGTGGGCTGCGTCAACATGAATATCGTATAAGTGCCAAACGGCTGCGGTATGAGATTCATTCGTCCTCATCTGGTGAGATCGACCAACGAATCTCTTCTTCATTCATTTTCATACGAACTGAAAGTCCCCCTAACAAGGAAAATTTTAGTTTTGAACAATTACCTATTAGGATTAAGAGACAGTTATATTAGGTGTAGTCATCTTATTTCCTAAAGTTAATTAAGCTGGTGAATTTATCCGATATATACGATCTGCTAATCTCGAAACCTGTTTGACAACGAAAAATTAGTTTGTATTGATTTTTGCATATTATCAAATAGGATGGTGGAAATAGCTCTTTGGGGCATGATAGGTGGCTGGATCATTCTACTAGGGTCATAATGTTATCATCTTGTAAATTTTCGAATTTCCTAGGAGGCGGGTCATCAAGCCAAATAATAAGGAGAAAATAAAAGTTACTTTAATAATCTTTATTTTTTTATCAGTCTTTCGAGACTATCCTTAGATCCTGAATAAGCACTGTTTTCACCGCATTTGGTTTAAAGTGATGAACCACAACAATCGGTCCTTAACTAGTTCAAACGATATAGGGTGAATGCAGCTTTTATATAGCATCTACTTGTAGTATTTAGAACCTACTTATTAATCTATTTTTTGTTTTTAACAATGTCGCATTCATGGACCCAGCCTCTTTCTGAGGAAATACATTCAACTTTACGCTATAATTTTTTTCAGACATTATTTAGGTCTGGATAACTTTCCTCAATATAAATGAATTGTTCATACGTCCAGGTACTGAAAGCATACTAACACTCCAATAATAGATTCATTTGTAAAAGTTATATCAAAAGCGTTGTACCTTTCTTCCCTTGGCTCTCCCGCATATCCGCTAAAAATTATAAGATATTCTAACACAAGTCATCACCAGTGCCATTCTCTAACCCCTGCCTCGTATCTTATATCACTCTGCTTATCTTTCACCGTCATTCGGAACCGTTATCACTTCACCTACAGCCCCTTATCAAACAATATTATACTATTTATTTTCAATATCATTTGTTTGTGCTTCATATTACTCGCTTCTGCGCTTTTACTTTCGGGTTGATAAATCTCATTTTCAAATCTTGGTACTAGTGCACCACCCCCATGATTAACCTGTATTCATTTTCTCAGCTCAGCTTGTGCTTTACTCACTTCCTTCGGCTGAGGCCATTTTCAGGGAATCGAGCTCGACATTGGTTTCATATTGGCTAGCGTTTTATGCCAGTTACAAATTACCACTTAACTTTTTATCACTTGCTTAGTTTGACTCAATCTACTAACTTCATCTTTAGATTTAGTATCGTTTTACTTTTCTCTTCTCTAACTTATTTCTTCGACCCATACGTCGTCTATATCCTCATATTAAGCCCAGACTTTACCCTAGCCCTCCATAGAAGCATACCCAGTTTTCACTTCTTCTTTTTAATGATCTCTTTTGTATTACATTTCCAGTAGCAATGATATCCACTGTTTTCATCATCCTACTTTTCTTTTTTTTTTTGCGACATACTGTCATACGTTCCTATGCAACAGGTGATTTGGAGGCGAATTGGTACAACTTACTCTTTATTACTTATTACTTTTAATCAATCTCATAACCTGCATATTTTTTGCACATTCTCTCAGATTCTCATGATTCTTTATGAATTAAAATAAAAAAATCTGGCCAATTCTTTATTATTTATTGCTTTTCCAATTCATCACAGACTACTTTATGAATCACATCTTGGCTATTATATCAAAAAAGGTCTCAAAATTACCGTCAGCTAATATAATTTGGAATTTCAAGTGCTTATCAGAGCACTGGTTGCAGCCGATGCACTAATTACATAAAAAAATTAGATATGGCTTTTCCATCTAACCCATAGTGGAAGCTTTTATATTTTTAGAGATATGACAATAGTCAAATTATTCTTAAATTTGATTTGTACTATCTTATTATTCATTCATATGCTTCCCTGTCAAATGACCCTTAAAATGTTTGGTCTGGTAATTTTCCCATCTGCTCATAAATCACGCACAATTTCCATTTCAATCATAAATTCTCTTTATATTCTTCATCAGCTAGTTGACAGAATTTAAGCTTCATATCGGCTGAAATTTCTAATTTGGATTTATTCACCATCTGCTTATTCCTTATATCTGCGGATCAGACACAACCCTTATTAGCAGGTAAAGACTGCTGGGGCTGTAACAATTATCATGTACTCTTATCCATATGGATACTCGGCGAATAGGCTCTACCAGACAAACTCACTTGCAACCTTATTTTTCTTATATTCACTCATATATAGTTTTTTAACCCTGTTTTCTGCAACAAAAAAAGGTTTTAAAGCTTTCAAAGCCTTACTTGGGTCTTTACTTAAAACTTTTAATTAAGCTAGTATGCTAGACGATGCTCCATTTAAATCGTATTTATATTCGTATAAGAGTAGGGTTTCGAGACTACCATCGTATTTGTTGTATAGAAATAGTTTGAATTAATTTTCGTCGTGCTGTTATGGAAGTATCGACGACCTTATATCGTCCAGAGTCCTCTTCCACAATAGCCATGATAATTTTCAGTTTTAACTCGTGAATTTGCTACCTTCCCAGACGTTTCACCGGCATCTCAGTCGGCATCAACACAACTACAATGTCGGCTCTATGTTTGGGTAGTAAGTCCACGTTCCGGGGCTGAAAAGTATCATCGTTACTATAGAAGAGTACTCCGAAGGATTTCTTTTTATCGATACGCTCTTACAACACAACCAAGTTGTGAGGATGAAACTAAACTATCTCCATACTTCATAGTATATTTACCTTTTCCTATATGCTGAATATCGCAATTGTACTTTTCAGGGAACACTGCCATAAATTAATAATGATTCTTGAAATTCGTTTTATTTTACCTATTCACTTGAAATTTAGTCATTAATCAAATGGATGAGTCAACAGCATATCTTAAGCACAATTTTGCCTTTTTAATTTACCCATCACTATGTTTACGAAAAATGTCTTATCTTTAAGAAAAAGTCTATTTTTAAGGCGGAATTATGAGCTTTGCATTTATGCACTGACCAATGCTACAGATACAGACCCTTCATACAATAGCAGTTTTGTGCTCAACAAAGGCGCATTTTAAATTTATTCTTGTCCTGAAATTTACTGCCTTATAGCATAATAGCTCAGTCTGCATTTCCTTCATGTCTGTTTACTCCTTTGTTTTAAGCGTTTTTGCATAGAGTGCATTTTTTTATTGATAGCATGTCCAGTGGATAATTTGTGGACCTCTGAAATACGCCCTTTCATAATTATAAACTCTAGCAGTTATGTACACTAGTTAGAGGCTCTTTAAATTAATACTGGGTTTACATAACTTATACTCTTATTTTTGAATAGATGGATTTACAATCAGATGAGCCAATTTTTAAGCAAATATTTCAACATATGATTTTTTTAAGAACTGGATTTTCGAAAGAACTTGAAAATAGTCTGGCTTTTAGGATAAGGTGTAGAAGCAGTGTAATGAACATAAAAAGTAATATTCACATTTACTAATTTTTGATACTACCAGTAGATTTTGAGGAGGATCTGTATTCAATTTAGTCAGCGTAAAAGGATGAATAATCGTCATCAGGCCATTTAATTTCGTTTAGCCTCACCTCAAAAAAGATATTCTTACTCAGGGTGAACTGAAGGACCTAATTTTAACAAATTTAAAGTACCTGCTAGACCTATTCATCCCGAGAGCACAGATTACTCGAAATAGGGTGTAATATTACTAAACGAAAATCTAGCAAAACATGCATGGCTGCTTGCGGTGGCTTTCTAATTCCTTCGCATAAGGAATTGCTGCTCGAAATAACACTTGGACAGTATCATCTTAGGATTCTGAGAGCACTTTAATATGCCTGATAAGTCAAATCATTTTTTACAAAGGCTTCCTCAATTATTGTCTTGATTCTTCTCTTACTTGCGTTCAATTTCTGCGTTAATTATTCTAGGTTCTCGATGCCAGTATGCTCATTGTTCGTGAGGATCTTAACGATTGGCTTCAACGTTATCTTTTCTATCCTGGGGGTGCCAGTGCCATTGATGCCAGTCACCTTTTAGACAGGCTTCAATCTGGCCTTTGGCTTGCCCGACTCGCTTTTAAACTACACCATAGCGTACTGTCGCAGGCAGCCACTCAGCCCCATGCCATCTCTTCGACTGACCAGCCTGCTCTAGCTTCTTTTGCTGAACCTGGCAGCTTGGCGGAGACTGTAACATGTCAAGCTCTGGGAGTTTCGGATCTTTCCGTCACCCCTCCCGAGATGATAAGTGCATCTTCTGGTTTCTTATCTTTTGGAAGACAGCGACATCGCGCCATGTGTGGGAGTTCTGGCAACTTAGTGTCTTCTTCGCTTGTCGCCCCGTACGACTGCAACAGTCCCTTTGGTGGTGGGGAAAGTAAAGCTCCTGTCAGCAGCGGTCTTTACAATGGAGGCACTCGCGCAGTCAGCGCAGGTGGAATTGGATTTCGGCGCTATTTACGGGGTTCGGGCTCGAGTTTGGGCCTTAATAATCTAACGGCCATTTCGCTGCCTCGATTTCCACGCTCTTTGGTTCTTCTTGCTCAAGTCTCTTTGGGTGATTCAGAACTACGTCATGCCCCGCCGATTCATAATGTTCCATCTGAGGATTCTGCCTCGCTAAACGGTGACGGTGTAGGTAAGGGAGAATGGCTGGAATCCGTAGAAACGCCAAATTATTTATGAAATTTAATGAAATGAATAATGCTAAGTACTAATATATAGAGATAATACTCTATTTACTGAGGAACAGCATCTTCATGCTAGCTTTAGATTCACAGATTTTTGTGGAGTCCTCTTTCGCGCACGACTTTGAATTAATCTTACAATTATGGCCTTTTCTTCTCAAGAATGCACACGCTAATTGTCATTTTGGCTAGAACTTACGGAATTTATACTTAACCCTTAATCTTAAGTTATTATCGCATGCCATTCTGACTTTGGGCTGTATACATTATTTATAAGACGTATTCATCCAGGTTTTCGTTTGTGAACTGCACACAGGCATAAGTAGAGTGTAAGTTTTATCCGGCAACCTTTTCTCTTAGTTCAATATATTAGTGTATTCTTCATATACTATGTTTTATCCTTTTGACAATTCTAATTTTCCATATTGAGAAGCAATTGCTTATTAATCTTAGTGGATAATTGTTTTGAAATAATATGTCTTAACTTTCCGAATATCTCGCATTATATTAAATTAGTTCCTTTGTATTTTACTTTAAGCTAAATTGGCAAAGAATATAGGCCTAATTTGTCTGCCCATCCTTTTCTTTGCAATAGGAAGAAAATCCTATATTTTCTAAGTAAACTTAGTAGATATTTGCTCTCTAGGCTTCATAATGTTCGGGATCCCCTCTCCTGCCATTATAGTAGTGAAATTCTGTTTGCCTCTGCTTGTTGTATGAATTAATGCTTGATGGATTATTAGATTAATGATTGCATCATAGATGTTGTGGATTTTTATGTAAAGTTAGGGTATCTTGGGTCAAATTTTGTTTCAAGGAATTTATAGGTGAACATCCTTTGGTTTGACCTCTATGTTATAAGTTCATTAGAAGTGCCACAAAACAAGCAAAATCTGAAATATTAAATCCTGAGATAGATTATAACTGTTGGGCTTACTTCCATTTCGAGTAGAAGTGTTGGGTGAAGAGATTCGAAGGTCGGTTCCACCA